TGTTCTATCTAGTGGGAACGGTCGCACGGCAGTTTGACTTGCCGGCGTGTAAAAACTAGCCGGATAACCTTCCTAATCAGGTTAGGGCAATACATGCAACCACGATCGACCCGGTCCTGGCCTCCGAGGAGCTAGAATCACAAAGACACTGGGTGTGAGGCCATCAGAAGGAACGGTACAACAAAAGGCCGATACGCTGGTGTCAGCAGTGTTGGAGGCTACATATGCTCTGACACCGAGGGCCAAGTCATCTCCGCACGCAAAGCGAAGTTGGAGCTTAGAACTAGGAAACATGAGTGATGGATGTCTATCTATGGGGTGTACAAACTACTTTATAGTTGTAGAAGCTCCTCCATCTGCCTAGCGCCACTGGCTGCCTGGAAGGCAGTCACCTCTGTGGCGCTCCTGCCTGTAGGCAACCTGATCATGGGATTCAACTAGCGATGGTGGACACCCGGCCTCACACAGCTGAGGCGCATACACACCTCCTGGAGTAACCATGGAGCGAGCGTCGGATAGGGTAGACCATGCCAGCCTGGAGACAGCAAAAGCAGCAGCCAAGAAATACCACGATGCCATTCGAACAACAAAAGAAAACAGCGTCTGGAAGGCAGCGAAGAACCTGAAATCGAGTGACGAAAGCGTACTTAGAGAGTCCCGCAGCTAGTCAGATAGGATGGAACAGTTACAAGTAACTTTCTTTCCTCCTCTACCCGGAGACATTGAAGACGAAGGCTCCAGAGCACAGAGAGCCCCGTATGGAGGAAGTGGAGCGACAACTGTTTGCCGCAAAACCGTGGAAGGTCCCCCGGGAGGACGGCCTGCCAGCAGTTGTCTGGAAGCAGGTGTGGTCAGCAAGGACCACGTGCTTGCGCTCTTCGAGCATCTCTCGACGATGGTACGCTGCTTAGTCATTCGAAGACCATACCGTTGAAGAAGCCCGGTAAGGACAACTACACTCTCGCCGGAGTGCGGAGACCGATCTCACTTCTGGCGACACTAGGCACGATACTGGAGTCAGTCATCGCGGAGAGGATCTCATACGCGATCGAAACCTATGGTCTCCTCCCCACTAACCGCTTTGGGGCGCGGAAACCGCAATCCGCAGAAACAAACGCTCCTACTGCTGCAAGAACAAATTCTACAATGGAGTCTGCGAAGAAAGATTGCCCGAGAGAATGAAGGCGCGAGGCATCCCGAAGAAAGAGCTGGAATGGGTAGGGCGTTCTACTCGGGACGCACAGCAACGATCCAAGTTAATGGGCAGTCCTCCGAGGTTCGGGGTCTGCCACAGGCTGGCCTGCTTGAAGATTCTCCTTTGTCCCCGGTTCCCTTTCTCATTTTCAACGCCAACTTGGTACAACGACACATTGACAGCAATGGAGGAGCTATAGCATTTGTCGACGACTTTACGGCACAGGCTTTGTCCAAAAGCCTCGAGGCCGCTTTCAAGCTGAAACGACTGAGAGGCCTGACACCGTTGCGCCGAGCCGGATTGGCGTGACCAGGTTATCCCATCCAGTGGGCTCATAGACAAGGTCCCGTGCTGCGCACATCACTGCGCACATCATATTGTTCGAGATATTTGGCTCCTGATGAAATTCATATCAACCGCATGGAAGACTATCGAGCTCAGCCTTACGGTTGACAAGAGACTCCGATTGGCTGCTTCCCACGCGGGTCAGCCTTGTCTGAGGTTCTTTGTGGTGGCAACGGGTCTAGGCCACAGAGTCGTTGCAACTCAACACCCAACACTGCACGCTCTTCTGCCTGATGGCCTGATATTCATAGCATCTTGGAGGCCGTCCAGACCCACCGAGTCTGCGTCACTCTCGAGGACTTCCCAAGCCCGGTTCGAGCCGAAGGCAATTTCCGCCGGAGTCCTCGCTGTCTCCGGAAGTTTGGTCGACTCCAATGTTTCCGCCAGCTTGAGATCGGAGAGAATATTGACCGGGGATAAAACGAGCTCCAGGAAGGGCGACAGGTGAAATAGTGCCCGCGAGAGTTCCGTGTGCGAGACACGGCCTGAGCCCCCGAGGCACTTCCTGGAAGAGCCCCTGACAAAAAGCAAATCTGAACAGGCGCTCCATCAGCGACACACCCACGCCCACCTCAACTGCAACGACAGCAATTGGAATCGACCCAGAATCCGGAATCTTGGCGGGAATATTGAGCTAGAGGAAGGGTCGAGCCACGGCTAGGATCATACGACCGCTGTGTATCATCTCAATCAAGGCGTTTGTGGGACCCGAAGCTTTGCACGAGCATTTGCTTCAAAGCGCGAATAAGATTATTGCGATCATTGGTACTGTATGCCGAAAACCGTGTTCATCTCCCCTTGACTTTGTTTGACTGTAGACCCGAAAAGCAAGTAAGGCCACTTCGCGGCCTAGGCCAACCATACTGGAGCTAACGGTTTCTGCTGACATGTCGCAGGTGAGCTCTAAATCTCAGACTGACCTTGCGGTGGCTCCTATGACATTTAAAAGCGACAAACTAGCCGGCTGTAACAGCGGTATTGTAGTGGAGCTTTGATATGCAGACTCACAGAACAGGACAAATCTTTTTTCAAAAGTTACAGTATCAAGGAAACTAATGCATTTCTCCCCCATAATTCGCCCAATCTACTTTCCCCAGCTAACTCCATATGTGAATGTCATGACAGAAACTCCAAACAATGCCCGGCAGGACAGTACCTTCGCGCTGACGTAGTCGGACATTCTGAAATGCAGTCCAAGTCGCAGCCTGTCTTCAAGGCCGCTTCACCGGCCATATCAAATGCGTCTTTGTGCCGGGATCATTAGGGCTCAGGCCAGATACCGCGAGTGGAAAACGGGCTGGGGTGGCCAAAGAGAGTCTCGCGAGTGGAAAATATTGCTCTAGTGTAATTACGCTTTTACAAAGCGCCCAATGAAACGCGCTTTCCACATCGTTCTCAGATCTTCGCGGTGTTTGTTTAAGTGTCCTTCGGCCGTACTATTGTAACTATTTGACCCCCTACTTGGCGTGACTAACATGTCTTTAGATCAAAAAATGTCCAAAAAGCCGCCGATTGGATTGGCTGAGTAAAATAATCTCACTCGATTGGTCAGTCTCTATTACAGTCACGTGGTGTCATGCCATCTAACCAATCACGTAGTAGACTCAAATTCCACGCTTTCCGCGCCACCGCCACCACAACAACGACACAACGCGCAATCGCTGATTGTTTCACCATTGAGATCTCGTCCTACGGTGTTCTATCTCCTTTGAATAGCTCCCGTTTAAGTGCTAACTGCCTCGTCTCCTTGACTAAAATACTCTTAAGTGGGGCCTCACCTGATCCCGTTCAAGCCTCCTCTCGATGATCAATCACCTGCGCGCCATTCCTTCCGCACGAACTTGCAAAAACAACTCCTCCTTGTCAAATCTCTCTTTGCTCAATCTCCTCCGCGCCATTTCTTGCCCCCAAACCCGGCGCACCGTTCCTTGCTGAAAAGAGTTGCAGGAGTAGTCTCCGCCGCCAACCTTCTCGTCACTCGATCGCAAACTGGCAATTCTCTGCCAGGGAATCTTCCGGCGAGGACTCTGTGAAGGTCGATCAGATCAGGTCCCTTCGACGCGCCTACGACTGCGAGCTCGGAATTAGCGCCTTAGCTACGATGGAAGGGCTGGGTGGGGTAAAGAGGAGCCACTTCGCCACTTCCTACCCTATCCAAGAGGATCCAGGAACATCCTAGGATTCCTCCCGAGGCTCCGCGAGGCCCACAAATCCAACGGCACGCCTATACCGAGGTATCGCTATGTTCTATCGCTATGTTCTTTCGACTTGCTGCTCCCGCCATTCCGGCAATTGAAGCACAACTGGGATCAAGTTACGAGGTACTTATCTAATCACGGCCGATCGATTGGTGCATATTACACAGCGATAACATGTCGCGTGGTGGGAATGGCAAAGTTATCGGGGTGACCTCGGCTAGAGAGCGTCCTTGCTGTGAACGAGTCAAGCGCTGAGTGGCATCGTCATTCTGCTGGCCAATTAAGTTAGATGATTTGATTTCGTTGAGAGAAGAAAAAAGGACAAAATCAGTCTCGCATCGGTCTGCCCAATGACGTCTCGTCACGCTACTTTTGTTTTTGGGCGGGGTGGTAGTCTTTCTTGTAGCCATCCTACAAACTCGCGCTGAGCCAGCGGCTCGTCGCCCAGATCATAGACCTCCAACCTCTCAATTCGAATCGAACGAAGGCCGCTGAGGCCGGGATCTGCTTGATAAATTTTCGGTGGAATTCGCGATATGAGATCGGGGTCAAAATGGAGGCGCACGGACTTCAGATTGTGACACTGTCCAAGCAGCTGGATACAGCTTGTGACATGGGTGATAGGCAAAGTCGGTGACGATTCAGCAGGCGTTGGAGCCTCGGTCTGTTGTGATTCAACGTCGGCCCTACTTTGCCAATCAAACTCTAGCGAGCCTATATTGGCACGGCCAATGTCGCCAATGCCAATGAGAAGTTGGACGAGGTCATCAAGGTGATCCACCTGAAACCTTGTAGAACGATATGCAAGCGGCAACGCTTCTCGACGCATCTGTTTATTTGCTGTAAGGACACCAAGGTGGCTTAGTGGAAAGTAGAAGCCGCTGGGATCCCCTATAGTTCCGGGAAACTGGGATTTTGGGCAGTCGACAAGCACGGTTCTCCACTGTCCTCTGGGCATCGCAAGATTGTATATCTGCAGCCGAGTCTCTGCCGAGAGCCGGGAGAATACGGGGCCTAGTCCGCAGGCTAAGTCGAGTCGCAACTGTCTGTCGCTTCAGTATTGACCGGACATCATGACAAGAAGCTTACCATCGCCGTGGTGTTCATCGTCACTACTTCATGTAGGGTCAACAGTAAGGATAACTCGAGGTCGAACTCCCAACGGACATTCACAGCGAAATTGTAGTGGCCGACACGGCTCCCACAGGTGAACGTCATTGTGCAGCGATGACATGTAGTCGTCCATGAGTGTGGCAGCCGTAAATCTGGCCGACCTTCTTGACGGACGATAACGCCCGGAGACGACTCGGGTAGAATAATTTCATATTTGCCGAGAGACTGTCTCACATGTTCATCGAGCTCTCTTTGGGCTCGATCAATAGCGCATTGAGAAACGGGAGTGAGGTCGCTGTAGAAGTATGGGGCGTCGTCGCCGGGATAATACAGTCCAACGACTGTGTATCCGAGCTGTTCTTCTATCTCTTGAACCGTGAAATTCGGTATCGGTTTCGCCATCTTTCCAGAATTGGATCTATGCTGTTCGGGTGCGAAAGAACTTGACTTATTATGAGGACAGATTCCCAATATATTTGAGAGATGAGAACATATCAGAGGATGTTGGCTGGGTAGGACGACCAGATCAGCATCGCATGAAGCATCGTTGTTTGTCTCACAATTTGGTATTTCTCACAGTTTGAGGTTTCTCACAGTCTGATGTTTCTCAATGTACGTGATATATCGTCTAGCTCTAGTTTTTTGGACACCAGAAACGTGGATCCGAATGATTTGGAGTGGATGTCAAGGCCGAAGCTGAACTTGAAAGATACGTTAATTGTAGAGTGTTTCCCTCCCCATTGTGTACTGTAGAGTATATTGGACTTAGCACGTGTGATATGCTTCCATACATGACAAGGTTGTACCATTTCCAACAGTCTTGGACTTGGACTTGGACTTAATTCAATTTGCCCTGGTCTCTCCCTCCGTGGGGATTGATATGTTGGGCTACTATAGTACTGCTCTAAACTATTCTTAGTCCCTCTGAGGTGTGAAACTATAATACATGCGCGATTTTTCAGCGTCGCTGGGGCCTATCATGATCCCTTAGCCTGACCGGCGGAGCTGCGTGATTCGAACCTTCCGGATACTTCCACGAATTCAAGCACTGCACTGACAATTTTCCAGTTGAATTCTGCCATTGCCTACAAGTACTTTACCTTGCTCGTTCCGAGAAGTTCCCCCGAGTATGGTCGCGGTACACCCAAGTGCGTCCCCTACCTGAGTCCCGTAGTTCTTGTCTTGCTTCCCAGAGCCTCGGACAGTCCACCAGGACGTGGACTACTGTTTCGATCACTCCACACACACAGCGGTCGTCATCCGTGAACTTGAACCGTCGGCTGTGTGGTGCTAACACGGAGTGCCCACTCCGCAGTTGCACCATCAGGTAGGTTCGGTGTCGTGTGAGTTAGCTGTAGGGGCGGAAGGCCCGCCTGGCTGGGAGACGGTCACCGATCCTTTTCAAACATTTGCCTTTCGGGTTGGACCTCCACTCTCTTTGCCATTCTTCTTAAATCCTCTTACGTGCTGTTCGTTCGCATGTTGAAACAAGACGACCAAAAGCTATGTTGTTTTTACGAGGTGACTGCTTACTTTGCGAGCCGGTCGGCCCATTCGTTCCCTTCGATGCCTGCGTGACCGGGGATCCAGTGTAACCGGATTTTGATTCGTCGATCCCGAAATGTCTGGACACGGTCTAGGATACGATGCATTATCGCCCGGCCAGATTTATTGGATGGGTTGGCGATTGCTTTAATCGCTGACTGGCTGTCGCTGATTATTGTATATATCTTGTCTCTTCGCCTGTTGACTCTTTCCTGGTAGATTGCCTCAACCGCGTGATGGATGGCAATTAGCTCGGCGGCATGCACCGCCCAGCCACTGGCTGGTCCGATTTCGATTTGCCATGTCCGTGGTGGGCTGTCTTGACTTTCTCGAGTTGAAGGATCCGCAAACCTTGGGATCCTCAATTCTATTGCAAGATGGACTTGGGCACTTTCGGTACAGATTAATATGGACAGAGGCTATGGTGCGCTGTGCGTCATTCGACGTTTGCCATAACCCTATGAGGAAAGGTTAGGGGAGCGTACTACTGAAATATGTCGCACCCTTGGGACGGTACGACGCGATCGTGATGCGGTCGTCAGGTGTTCGATACCTAAGCTGGAGACTGAGGCATAAGTCTGTAGGTCGGCATACGACAATAGTTTTCCCATCGCTTGCCTAAGGCCTGCAGAGAATCTCCAGTCTAAGATCTCCCGGACTGGCTCGTTCATGAGACCAATATAGCTTCAGGATAGAAAGCGTGAGCATAGCGACGAAAGCTATGAAAGGAAGGCCGCGCGCAGAGAAATTCGGCCTGAGACGAGGGTAAGTAAATAGCTTTGAGGAAGACGCCGCGGCGGCAGACTTAAAGGCGGTCAATCATCAACAGTCTCCATCGGGGTGAGCAAGGTCTGTGTCGCACCGTCGGTGCCGGGGCGCTACACCCTTCTGCCGCCGACAGCGGTGAAACACGGTGATCCGCTGGCCCGGGGGTTAGCACAGAGCGGCACCACCCTCGTCCCCAAAGAGGGTGAGACTGACGTTTACCTCGTCTTGGCGGCACTCCTACCCGTGCGACACTCTGTCCCTCGCCCTGTTGCCTAAGGAAGCCTGAATTCTTTCAAATATATCTTGAAGAGAGCTCCCCCGAATTAATAGACTTTTCGAGGAACACCACCCTACGGCACGCGTGTACTAGTACAATGATGAGCCATTTTACGCTTCTTGATGGTGATAATGTCATCTCGACTCTCACCATTCGCAACTTCGAACTTTCCCAACTGCTGAGAGGTGACTTCATCCGATAGTATCAAACAACCGCATCGCTGCTAACGTTGAAGGCAGTGGCCGTTACCTTCCTCAACTGTTACAAGAACGACAGTAATCGCATCGTCACGGAACATGAACGCACGAGATGGAAGAACCGCGGGCGGGTAGCTGCCCAAATATGTGCTTTCGCAAAAGCATCATCCGGGGTCACGGCTTCTGCAGCGGGGAGTTTCCGCCCTAACCCTGGTGATCTCATCGTACTGTTAGACATCACTGCTATCGACCAGTCACCTCCACTCTTGGGAACCTTCCTGTCTGCCCATATGATAAACGCAGCTCCGATGACAGATGACCAGGAAAACTCCATTTCTCAACGGCGGAACTTGCTGGATCGATCACCCGTCCGGATCATATACGAACATACGGATGCGGGTGATTATTTCCGCTGTCGCGGCCGCGTGAAGACTCTCGCAGACCTTATCATAAGCAAAATGCGGGACCCCAGTGATACACTCGAATCAAGGGCCAATCAACAAGTCCAACGCCGCGAGCAACGACATGGACCAAGAACCAGAAGCGTATCCAAAGACCACGCAACTGCTCTCGAGCAGGTCAGAAGGCAGACGATCAGCGCGATTGACCGTTTAGCCTCAAAGGGCATTCCCGACAAATACGTGCCCCTGCTGCTGATTTACTTTGCTAGGTTACGGATCCCTGCCGACAAGATTGTTGAATTGATGAAGGCGACAAGATCATCCCTGAATGTTTTTAATATGAGGATCTTTGACGACTATGACTATGAGCTACAGGATGTTCTTAGAATTCTTCAAGAAATGTGCCCCGTTAAAGCGATCGTTCTCTCGAGGCATCCCAGTATCAAGGAATATTTGGGACCCATATGCAAAAGCCGCGGGCTTGAGAGATTGATCGTTTTGGATGAATCTTTACGGGACGGATCAGCTCAGGGGTACATTGAACTCGCGGATTTCCAAAAGTATCCGCATTTGGAGATCAGTCATCCTCTACTTTGGGTCCAACCGTGCCCTTGCCGCACCCCCCCTTCCCGCGATTATCTGGGACAAGCAATTTTCGCCCACAAAGTGTACGAACGGTGGAACGTATCTATCAGATCCCTAGTCGGATCTTTCCAAACGGTACAAGTCCTTGAGAGACGATTGCGAACATCGACGGGGACACTCTCAGCAGCCCAGGGTCTGCCCTCGCTTAGGCGAGATCTTGCCACGTTACTTGCTGTGGACGTAAACCGCCCCCCCCTTCGCCTCTCATTACCTGAAGAGAGTCCTCTCTAACCTAATATAGGAAGAGTTTACAGTTCTCCCCCCTATTTACACCCTACTCTCTGACGACTCCGAGGCGGACCAGACCCCGGAAGAACACTTCATCGACTACTCTACGCTGATAGTGGCCTGGACTTCTTCCTCGAATCTCTCAGTTAGCATTGCCTGGCTCGACGGCGACCAAAGCAGACATGTTAAAATGAAGCGACGAAGGCACCATATTACCGAAATGACGATCCGTACCAAGAAATGTACGGAAAGGTACCACCCGGTTCCCAAGGACGATGTCGAAATGATTCTGGGTGAAGCTACTAGGAAATCAAAGAGGCGGACCAAACAGCATCGATAACGAGCCTTTCTGCAGTTGTGACAGATTTAATCAAGAGCCATCTGAAACCTCCGTTCTCGCGTAGAGTGTGTGATGATATCACGACTTAGTGGGTCAAGCGGCATAACAGTGACTGCAAGTGCCCAAGTTAGGAGTAGTGTAACTGAAGCCTATTTTCCGTCGCAAGGTTCTTAGTCTCCCTGTACCTCGTGCGTTCCTGCCATTTGCAGTGCCTAGCTTACCAAGTCGATGCCCACATTGGGTTCGGAATGTTAGAATCCTCGACAGGGTAGCCCACGTCACATAATTGAGGTGGCCCCTTGTCTGAATCGCCGCCAGCCCACTTCCTCACATCATCCTTTTCGTTCGGCCAATCAACGCAGTGGCAAATCCTCAACGCTCACTGTACCCGATTTGCCCGGACGGAGAATATTTATTCCGAATGCCAAATAACGGTTTTCTTTGGCAGATGAAGCCCAGTCGACAAGCATATGGGAATCTTTTTTTCCCGGTAAACATATTACCGGGGGTTTACACGCACAGATATCCAGACCGAAGGTAATGAGGTCGACGGCCCGAAATATGACAGTAGCTTTCGAAGAACATTTGCCACAATTCTCGTTTTCAAACACCGATTTCGTAACTTCGTCTTTGTTGAAGAAAACGCGAACGATCGTCATACCCATCAACAAGGGAGCCTGAGGGGTTTCCTGGAGGGCCATGGCGATATTCTTGGCGAGATACCGGGAAAGAACGAATGGAGGGGTGGATCAATGGCTTGTCGCTAGAGCGGTGGTCGATAGGGCAAAAGCGCTCCACCCTGTTCGGCAACCAGAGAAACGGGATTGGAGACGCTGGTAGCAATGGTATTGAGTGGGATGGGCTTGATGAAGTGATAGCGTCGAAGAGCTGGAAAAGGACGAGTGTGACCCCAAAAAAAGGGGAAGGTGGGAAGAGTCTTTTTATCATCCGAGGCTCTAATCTAACGAAGACATTTCGGGTTTATTTTTTGTCGACAGGGGTGTGGGAAGACACCGTATGAGGAGGATTCTTGCATCACTAGTGCGTGACATGTCGATTTTCCATAGATGATAGTAGCGGCGTAAAAGAGCGGTGAATGGACAAAATGCCTAACCGGTGAGCATACTCCGTATATGTCAGGGACGAAGACCGAGAGAAGGCTCTAAGGGGCTTTAGAGGGCTTCGTACGTATGGAGAAGGCTTGAGAGTCCTGATATTGCTATCTTGATGCACTGTAGAGTACAAGACGAGAGACAAAGAGCTCGAAGGGTAATTGGGGCTCTTTTCGAGATCTATATACCTTTCCAGGTGAAACATTCCTCCTTGCTTTGTCATTCTGGACTCTCTGATTGTCTCAGAATGTTCGGATGGGATGTGAGGGTTTTCGATAGTTGAATGCAAGGGTTTTGAAGTCTGCAAGGGCTTCAAGGACTGCAAGGGGTTTGGCGTGGTGTCGTCACGTGAGTGCGGCCTAGTAAGGCTCCTCCAGAGCCTCGCACGTGCTTCCTTGGGGGTCGTGGAACCTAGCTGCGACCCGGCTAGGTTTCTCCTGTTCGGCGCAATTCGAGGGCTTCGAGGTTGTGCCGTAACAGTATAGTTGAGACATTCTCGCCCTGTAGATGCTTTTACGCCCGAATTTGATGCCGCTGAAAGCGTCGTGGAAGATTTTTAGCCATAATATCTAGCTTCCCAGGATCGTGGCGTCTCATGATTGGCAAAGTAATTTATGCCTCTGGGCAAACCCTAAGGGTAGTGGTATCAGACAGCTTGCGGGCTAGGAAATGCAGGGCGTTTACCCAGCGAGAGTAGGGGAAATTATCTAGGAGGAGACGAGAAAGGCCTGGACGAGCAAAAAACTTCGGCTGAAGCAGTAGGTTCATAACGCCAGGTCGGGAGTTGGCTACTGGCCCCCCGGAGCGTAACGCGGCGGCTCTGTGGGCCCCTGCCGGGGGAAGGGCGTCACCCTCTCGGCCCGTTGCGTGGCCCCTATCACGGGTGGGTTCATTCTCTCAGGTAGCGATCTACCCCTGTGGCGTTCCTTCATTCACCCGGAAGGTTGTTGGTACCTGGCGGGATGCTTCTCGCGTGCGTCCAGTTGATACCTACGTTGGAGTCCGAGGCAAATGAGTAGGAGAAAGCAGGTCACCGCCAGTGGGTGTTGGACACTTTCACAGCCGTATAGGGCAGCGGGAATTCAAAGAAACCCTCGACTGTACCGAGTAGTGTCAGGCAACAAGAAGGCAACTCCACCTGTCGTCGGACACGTGCGAGCGGTTCCTTGGCTGGCAGAGCCATCACCGCTTCTTACTTGTGGTCCGTGGGCAAGCCTCACCATGCAGTGAGTACGAGGTATTTTGTTTCCTTCATCACAGGAAATCCAGGCTCCATAACAAGTACATTTCTTAGGGTAGATCCACTCCCTTATGCGCGGCGGACATCTATACCCCCGTCGTCGTGACGACGGCTCTCCTCGATTCCCTTTCCTGGTTTCGACAGGATGTTCCCACATCCTACTTTCCCTCTTTAGTAGTTACCTCGTAGAAACATTTGTTGCGCCCGCAAACGGCTGTAATCGTCGCCTCGCCAAGGGACATTACCCTAACGGAAGAGCAAAAACAGCCTCTTTTACAGCCAACGAGAGAGAAAAGAACCGCGGTGGCTACTGAATGATATCTAGCCCTCAGATACATGAATATTCTACTTTTGCGGCCACGGCGAGGAGGAAGATGTTTTCCCTTCGGCAACATAGCCTCATTTTGGGGGGGAGGAGATTGGGAAGACGATTCTCGCTGAAAAGAAGCTTGGTGTCAAGATCAAAAAGCTCGTTGATACGCTACGGGTCACCACAATAAGCCCATGGCTGCCGTCTTTACTGAGTTCCCGTTGTCATTGCTATGTTAGAATCCGAGATAACTAGCCAGAAAACATCTTTGTCTACCGTGTATACATGATTTTTCAAGTATCAAAGTGTCGCTCAATGGCCACTGTCAAGATGAGAAGGAGAAAACAGAATACTTGGTGTATGTGGTGCTCTCGGTCTTGCATCTCACATCGAAATGCCCATATAGCACATGGTAATCATTATTTTGACTCAGGGAACTGTTTTTCGACGATATTGCTTCCTCCATATCTCTTCGTGTTCTCGTGGATGACTACCCAATTGCCATAACGCCCAGGATCCTGGTTTTGTCCTTATATCGCTACTTCAAAGACATCCCTCCAACATAGCATTGTTCTGCAAGCATTCTTACCCAATTGGC